TCGGTAATGAAATTGATGCAAGGTTGTGTTATAATTAACGAAAATGTTAATCAAAGACAATGGTATTCGCATAATTTCATGTATGCCCTTATTTATATTAGAACAAAATTCATTATTTGCATGGCAATTAACACTGGAAAGTTGTAGGAATTAGTACTTCTAAGAAATAACTTCTAGCTCATTTTAATTTACTCCTTGTCATTAATTCGCTTATATATTTTAATTTACTCCTTGTCATTAATTCGCTTATATATTTTAATTTTTATAGTCTCCTTTTGTAGTTAACTAATGGATTTTCTTCAAATCAAATTTTAGTGCGAGTAATTCTTGACGGATAATTAATAGATCTTTCGATAAAAAAATCTCGAACTAGTTTCAATCCCTGTGCGATGTGACAATCTCGAATAATCTTTTCGCGCCTGATTAATCTAAATTTACATTTTAAGTACACATTCAAAAAAAAAAAAATGTAGATATTTAAAGAGAAATTGTTGGTTGAAATTTTTTCATCACAGTATGTAATTGAAAACAGCAGACAATAAGTGTTCAGATATATAAAATACTCAAAGCAAAAGTTACATTTAAAATTACTTATTTGCTTAAATACGATTCTGAAGCTTACTTTTCCTGCAAATAAAATTTATTGTGATGAAAACTCGATGAGACGAGTACAATACTATTATTACTGCACCTCTATGTTTCAACATAGATTCCATAGATTTTCATATTAGAAGTGTTTAAAATGATGATGTGGATCAGGACCATCAGGAGTCATTCGCTCGGGCCGTGCTTGATAACTGAGATGAGCCTTTTCATGTTCAAATTGAGCCTCCAACGCTTCTCTGGCCGCCCTTATCGGCTTGACAGGACGAGCTACGACTACTGTAGTTGAAAGCAAGAGTAGGCACATTAAGAACTTGAAGCTAGTCATTGTCCTGCTAAATTTCATTTGCTATTTACTCTTGGATGATTTATGGATACACGTTCTGGTATTTATAGTCCTTGGTGAAATGCTAATGTTATTATTATATGCTTCTCTCTTTTAGAAGTTAGTGAAAAGAAAAGGAAGTCGATTCAAAAGGTACAATCTTTTGTCTCATTAGTGAAGTGTATTCTCTTTTAACAAAATCTCACGTCCTTATTAGAAGAAAATATCACATGCCATATATACGAATGACGTGCAAATTATCGAGGTCTTTTATGTGTGGAAGTGAAAATGTGAAATAGGATTGAGTCGTCTCAGGATACAGAACCTAACAACATCGAATCCGATCGACATGTTGATAGTCAAGGGCGGAGCTAGAAATAAATCGTACGGGAGGCAAGATTTTTTAAAATTTAATGTACGAAAAAAAATTTATATATAACAAGAAAAATTGTAATATAATGTTACTTATTACAGTTGTACCCGACGATATTTTA